AAACGCATTTAGTTCCATTCAATTTTATTTTTATGAGCATAAAATTAAGCCCTAGAACTGAAATAACACCATGAGAAAACCCCCCAAACTTTCACCTATACATCCGGAAGTTTCGTCAGAACCTCACCGATAACGAGAAAAGCAAAAAATTTGAGCTTTCTAGACCTTAATATCAGTGGTGTGCCGTCATTGGAAGCGGTGGAAGAGCAGCTTCCTTTGTCTATACTAATATTATAAAGAGGTAGTGTTTGTAAGTTTGGATGTAGGGGCAATCTCCGAAACTACTCATCCGATTTCAAAAATTCTTTCACCAATATTTAGAATGGAACTTCAAGGTGGACACAGGCTGTATATTATTCCGTTAAACATTAATATAAATTAAAATATATAATCTAGGTAAAGGCTTTTATGCCCAACAGATGGCGCTACGAGTACGACGACTAAGTTTGCTTTACTGTAAGGATGAACTAAAGCAGATCATCTTCGATCTATATAAATAAAAATGTAATAAAATAGGTAAATGTCTCTTCAATCCGAACAAATTTTCGGTAGACTTTCTCACAGCTCTACAGGTTATAAAACTCCTTTATTGTTTATCTACAGATGCATTTCGGGCAAGTTTAATTTTCCAGCCCCTCTTCAGTGCTACAAAACAAAATTCATATTGAATTGATACAAAACAACTCGAGTAGAAAATGCTTACAAGACATAAAAAGACATTTTATAATACCTTAAGATATCCCACATGTTTCTTCATCTCTTTTACAGTACTTATACTATCAGTTTACAATGTTTTCTAATTACGAGTAGTTATGTAGCATAATGATATGGATTTCGATGTAAAACGCCCTTAAGGGAAAAAATGGGAATTATAAATTAGAAAACATTGTAAACTGATAGTATAAGTACTGTAAAAGGGATGAAGAAACATGTGGGATATCTTAAGGTATTATAAAATGTCTTTTTATGTCTCGTAAGCATTTTCTACTCGAGTTGTTTTGTATCAATTCAATATGAATTTTGTTTTGTAGCACTGAAGAGGGGCTGGAAAATTAAACTTGCCCGAAATGCATCTGTAGATAAACAATAAATGAGTTTTATAACCCTGTAGAGCAGTGAGAAAGTCTACCGAAAATTTGTTCGGATTGAAGAGACATTTACCTATTTAACACATAATACAGCGACCATTAGAAAATTCAACAATAAAAATGTAATGTTTATTTGTTCCTACCGATTCCTTTGAAATTTTGACACAATGTTGCATTCGAATACGCACGTGTTTTTATATAATATACGTGTCGAAATTTCCCCCATTGGGGGAGATGGAAAGGATTAAGGCTTACCGTAAAGAATTCTGCTTCTATTTATACTATTTTAGATGCGGTTTTTGCGTTTTAATAAGGTACCGTACGTCCAGTAGCATAGCGTAGCGGGGGCGGCAGGGACGGCACTTTTTAGGGGGCGGCAAAATTTTACAATAAATAATAATAATATCTTCTAAGAATTTGAACAATTTTATTTCATATTTTCGTCCACCTACGACTCGGACCGATTGAAATGAGCACGGAATAGTGTTACCATCCATCCGGATAGGCCGGAAATCGACTCGCCGTGGGGGGATATCGTGCGCAACCTGTTGACATTTTTCTTTTTGTTTTTGCTTGTACGATTTATTCGTATATATATATATATATATACATCTCCAATATCCAATACAGCTAGGTCACTTGCGTTACTCCTATCCATGTCTACCTAGTCGCTAACTGTAACTGATTCAGAACCAGCATGCACAGCACATTATTCTTCGCATTGCAAAATGACATACGCATGTGTTAGGAACTTCAGAAACCTCACCTGCCGTCTGGGTCAGTGATTTTAATAAGGTGGCAACCCTAGCACGAAATTTTTCATTACTTATTCTGTGAGGAAACTAAATTTTAGTCTTTTAAATTGAGATACCTAAATAAGGGGGGCGAAATTTTTCTCCGCCCCGGGCGGCTGACACCCACGCTACGCCACTGGGTATGTCAACAGAATATACACTAAAAAGGGATTTTTCGATCCCCTAGGAGGAGAGGGACAGGATTAGAGCTTACCGTGAAGAACGTGGCTTCTATTACAGTATTTTAGATGCAGTTTTTTCCGTTTTTGATTGCGTTTTAATATGGTACGGCAACAGAATATACACTAAAAAGGAATTTTTCGATATTTCCCTAGCGGGGGAGAGAGACAGGATTAAGGCTTACCGTGAAGAACGTGGCTTCTATTATAGTATTTCAGATGAGGTTTTTTGCGTTTTTGATTGCGTTTTAATATGGTACGTCAAGAAAATGTACACTAAGAAGGAATTTTTCGAAAAATTCCTCCCCCCACGGGGGAAGTGTTATACATTTATAATAGATACATTTTGAGCCACAACAACGAGTGGCGGGGTATGCTAGTGTTTTATAAAAAATAAATACATATTAATTTTAATTATATGAAAATAATCGCACAATATTTTATTATAACCGCATTATGTATCTTATTACAAATTTCTATACTATACATGAAAAAAAGATAAGATTGCTATTGTATATTCGAATATCAGTGGCGGAGTGGTAGTGCTGTATCGTCAGCATCCAAAAAGCCAGATTCGCGCACGCGTTTTACAAAGCACCAACCTCACCCAGTTTAGCCAGTGGAAGTCTAGGATCTCGAGTGGATGCTACACGTATAACGCTTCCAATTCTATCCAGGACCGGTTCCGGGCTGTTAGCCGCCCGCCCGCTAGATATTTGGCCGTCCTCGCCCGATTACGTGAATCACGAGTAGATTTATAACTTAACCCAACCGATAAGAATTTACTGGTATGTTTTTATGATAGTTCTGTATAGTTGATGGAAGTTAAAAAAAATCCATTAAAATATTTGATATTTTTATTCCGCTCTCCGATTTTATATTACTCATGGATTTCAATGTTAAACCAGTGATATTACGATTTCGTATGTCCCATCTATAAGGAAATGCAGAAAAAAAACATGTACAATTCTTGTACAATGTTAAAAAAAAGAACTGTTACTTTGGTAGCATAACTTACAACTAAATTTAATGAATGAGAGAAATGCACGAGGTACAGAAAAAGCTTTAGAATTTATTTTCCTTAAATTTACGATTTGTGTATCCGTTGTCATAAAAATTAGTCTTTCCACTTTTTTCCTGAGACCACAAATATTCAAGTACAAAGTAACTGGTTCCGACTTATTTCTACTTAAGAAGTAGTTAAATAATTAAGCGATTAGGGAATTGGGACAAAATAAAACCCTGCTGAAAGAGTTGGAATAGTACTTAAAAGCTTAACCGACCCAATCTCCAGCTGAGTACAGTGGGGACTGATTTCTTCGTAATATTAGACGTAATATAAACAGGAGTTTTTCCAGTTCAACGAGAGTGACCGAAAAGTTGTAAATTTTGGAAATTTCCGTGGACAACACCTGGTCCTAAAACGAATTAGTTAGAAAACAAACGATTTATTAAGTTTAATATATTTA